AAGACTTTAAAGAAAAGTCTAACATTTAATCCTGGACATGTTAAAGTTCTGACACATCAAGTGCAGGTGTCGAGAAAGCAGTTGAACGTCTAAGTATAGAGTTCAGAAGAGAAATCCAAATGGGAGAGATACATTTAGGCACTGTAAATATGAAGATGTTTAAAACCATGGGAATGGATGAGTCACCTGTGCAGAGGTGAGGGGGAACCCAGGTCTGAGGCCTGAGGGACCTCATGGAGGGAGGTTGAGTAGAATCAAAAGAACTAGGAGGGAAAGGAGTGGAGAGGAGGGAAGAACGTTGAAGCAAGACAGCTGCAATGTTCCCGTCGCTCTTCTCCCAATGTTAAAGTATGCCATGGTTGTTTCACCATTCCTTAAATGTGCAGGGTTTTATTTTCTCATTTTTTCCAGTGCAGAAGAGGAAGTTGTCTTTGTTTTTTGCAGAACAAACTCTTTGGTTTGTTTCACTTTTACATTTGCTTACTTTTCACTGGAAAGCTATTAAAATTAAAACTAAAACACATCATGTTGTTTTTATAATAACCTATTTGAACAATAAGAGGGTAGAAATTCTAACTTTTGGGGAAGCCATTTTTTCAAATGCTAAATTAATTCATTGGATTTATAATATTTTTAATAATAAAAATTATTTCTCCCATATACTTTAGATGGCACAAAAGGTAAATTAAAAAATCATGTTTGGCACTCTACCCCTACATAAAGGTACCTCACTAGGTAAACATCTACTCAAGGAGAATTCAAATAGCATTTTTACAAACTTAGCCTTTCCCTAATCAAAACCACAGCACCCACTTTAGTTACTTCCACTGAAAGAAGTCAATCTTCTTATCACACATGTCAATTCCATTCTTCTAAAACTAAAAGTGTTCTTTAGAAACCATTATTTTAGAGGCTCCTCATCTACAAAACTAGAAGATTAAACATATATTCCATGAGGACAAAATAAATAGCCAATATTTATTAGTATCAACATTAAGCACCAAACATTGAATGTAAACTGAAGCAAAACCATCACATGGATTAATCCATAGTATGCCAACCAGGAAGTTTATTTCTTCCTTTTTTTAATTTTATTTTTCAATTATAGTTTACATTCAATATTATTTTGCATTAGTTTCAGGTACACAGTGTAGTGGTTAGGCAATCAGATAGTCTACAAAATGTTTCATGCCAATATTTCCAGTACCCGCCTGGCACCATGAATAGTTACTACAATATTATTGATTATACTCCCTATGCTGTACTTTACATCCTCATGACTATTTTGTAAGTATGAATTTATACTTCTTAATCTCTTCACATTTCACCCATCCCTCCAATTCCTTCCCATTGAGCAGCCATCAGAATGTTCTTTGTGTCTATGATTCTGTTTCAATTTTGTTTATTTTGTTTTTTAGATTCCACGCATAAGTGAAGTCATATGGTATTTGTCTTTCTCTGACTTATTTCACTTAATGTAATACTCTCTAAGTACATCCTTGCTTTAACAAATAGTAAGATTTTGTTCTTTTTTTCTGGTTGAGTAATATTCCATTGTATACACATAGCACCACTTTTTCTCCCCTATCTTATCGACAGGCACTTTAGTTGCTTCTATATCTTAGCTATAAATAATGCTGCAATAAACATAGGGGTGCGTATATTCTTTCAAACTAGTGTTTTGGGTTTCTTCAGATAAGTCCCCAAAAGAAGAATCACTGGGTTATAAGGCAATTCCATTTTTAATTATTTGAGGAAATTCCATACTGTTTTCCACAGTGGCTGCACCAGTCTGCATTCCCACCAACAGTGCACTAGGGTTCCCTTTTCTCCACATCCTCACCACAACTTGTTTATTGGTTTATTGATGACAGCCATTCTGATGGGTGTGAAGTGATATCTCATTTTGGCTTTAACTTGCATCTCTCTGAAGATAAGTGATGTTGAGCATCTTTTCATGTCTATTGGCCATGTGTATGTCCTCTTTGGAGAAGTGTCTATTCTGGTCCTCTGCCCATTTTTTAAATCACATTCTTTGAGGGGTTTTTGGTGTTAAGTTATATGAGTTGTTTATAAATGTTCAATATTAGCCTCTTATTAGACATATTATTGGTAAAAATCTCTGGGAAGTCTATTTCTCTAAGATAAATTCTTCTAGAATACCAAATTACATGTAGAAAATTACCCACTTAGTGAAATTAAAATAAATCATAATTATACACAGCTTTTGCCCATACTTCTTTACATCCATTTTTCCACTTATCTAACTGTATTAGAGACATCTCTTAGGTCTTTGCTTACAATTCTGGAAGTCACATGTATAATTCCACCCTAATGCTAGGCCAGGACCATCAGAAACCACAGAGTGCAGATCTTTCATTGGAATCACCTGGAGGATGTGTCAAAATGTAGATTCCAGGGCCCCACCCCAAACACATGGAATAGCATGATATTTGTAAGAAGACATGATATTTGTAGCAGCTCTGATAGGGCCTTCAAACTAAATCAAGGAGATAACAAACCCAAAGTAATACAAAACTACCTAAGAGCTGTGGGCTGATACATCTTCTATCACCCACATTATTGTTTGGAAACTACTGCCTTAAAACTGGTTGAACAGGACTTCCGCCAAGATGGAGGTGTAGGTGGACCCACCTTGCTTCCGTGCACAACCAAATCTAAGAACTATTTTAACAACGATAAACACAACCAGACCACACAGAAAATTGACAATACGGAGTCCGAGAAAAAGGACGAAATGCTCGGCTAAACTGGTAAGGGGGTGCGAAGCCAGCAGCAGAGCCGGTTGACCAAAAAAGATCCCTGACCTGGTGGTGCGGAAGCAGCTGAAGGTGCGGATCGTGGGCTAGCTACAGACGGACACAGGGAAGAGGCGCGCGGCTGGCTATCTGCGGTAGGTCGCGCATCCGCATGCAGATAGACCAGTGAAGAGGCGAGCACTGAGACCTCACGGCGTGCAGGGCAGCGGGCTCCAACAATTCTGCTCGGATAAACAGGCCGGGGCGAGTGGTGGGACTGGACAGACTGGGCTAGCGCGGAGAGGACCGCCATTGCTCCCTCTCTGACCCCGCCCCCACATGCAGCGTCACAAACCAGCGACCTGGATGGCCCCACCCTGGTAAACAACTAAGGCTTCGCCCCTCTTACTTACTTACCGGTGCAAACAGACCAAAAATGGCTCAAGAACAACTCAGAGCCCCAGAGCCGATAAATCTAAGCGATGAAGAAATAGCCCAACTTTCAGGTGCACAGTTCAAAACACTGGTTATCAGAATCCTCACAGAACTGGTTGATTTTAGTCACAAACTAGAGAAACATATGAAAGCTAAACTAATTGAAATGAATGGTAATGCAAAGGAAACCAATAGTAATGGAAAGAAAACTGGGACTCAAATCAATGGAGTGGACCAGAAAAAAGCAAATAATGGCCAAACAGAAAAGAATGAAGAAACAAGAATTCAAAAAAATGAGGAGAGGCTTAGGAACCTCCAGGACATCTTTAAACGCTCCAACATTAGAATTATAGGGGTACTAGAAGGGGAAGAGTCACGAGTGGAAACCTTATTTGAACAAATAATACAAGAAAACTTCCCCATTCTGGCAGAGGAAATAGACTTCTAGGAAATCCAGGAAGCTCAGAGAGTCCCAAAGAAGTTGGACCCAAGAAGAAACACACCGAGGCACATCATCATTACATTAGCCAAGATTAAAATGAAGGAGAGAATCCTAGAAGCAGCAAGAGATAAGGGGACAGTCACCTACAAAGGAGTTCCCATCAGACTGTCAGTGGATTTCTCAAAAGAGACATTACAGGCAAGAAGGGGCTGGAAAGAGGTATTCCAAGTCATGAAAATCAAAGACCTACAACCAAGATTGCTCTACCCAGAAAAGTTTTCATTTAGAATAGGACAGATAAAGTGCTTCTCAGATAAGACCAAATTCAAGGAGTTCATCATCACCAAGCCCTTATTAAATGAAATGTTAAAGGGATTTACCTAAGAAAAAGAAGATAAAAAAGTTGAACAGCGAAAGGACAGCAAACTCACAGTTATCAACAACCACACCTAAAACAAAAGCAAATTAGGAGGACAGCTGGATCAGGAGTGAATCATAGAAATGAAGATCACGTGGAGAATTAGCGACAGGGGAGTGGGAGAAGAAGAAGGGGGGAGAAGGTACAGAAAATAAGTAGCATAGACAGTAGATAGAAAATAGATAGGGGGGAGGGTAAGAATAGTATGGGAAATATAGAATCTAAAGAATTTGAGACACGTGTTCATGAACTAAAGGGGGAAATGGTGGGGGAGGGACATGCAGGGTGGAGGGGAACGGAGGGGGGAATAGAACAAATGTAATGGCATAATCAATAAAAAAGTTTTAAAAAAAGCATCTGAAAAAAAAAAACTGGTTGAACAAAGGAGAAAGTGTCACCCTAGCTAAACTACCATCTTATGACAGAATAAGCTTATGATTATATTATACTAAAATATTGTGGCAGTGCATAGCTTATGTATTTCCACTGAATCAAAGCAAAAATTGAACAATGTTAAAACACTTTGGAAGTTATACCTTGTACAAAATAAGCTCAGAAAAAAATGTACCAAAGATATGTTAAAAACATAAAGACCTGAACAATCACATGCATTATTCCCTTATTTATTTAAACAAAAGTAAAAGGTCTAATAATTAAAACCTCAAATATTTGATTTTCATGATAAAAACATTCATCACATTTATTAATGAAAAGGTTTTTATTTTAAGGAGTCATTTTAAATATATGAAATATAAAATTATTGTAGCTTTACAAGTAATTCAGTTTTGATCAATACATGAAGACATGTACATCTGTAAGTAGAAATACAGTAATATATTTGTAAACAATATCAAAATACAATTTACAATTCCACATATTGCTTAATAGATTTCTAAAGTTCAATTTCAAAAAACATTTTAAAATATATGCTATGAATTGTATAAAATAGAAAAACTTTCTTTTTTCCAAAACAAAAAGTGAAATACTTAATCCGTATATAGCCAATACTTTTGCATGGCACAAAGAGTTCAAAATATTAAATATTTTCTTAAAACCACCTTTCAGAATTTTTTCATTTCCTTTTCTATTACAGTTTCAAAAAATATTTATAGCTGTGCTTAAGTCTTACAGAGACTTAATGTCTCCCATTAAAATAAAGATGTCATATCCAATTTTGATCCTCCTAACCAATAATAACCATAAGTCATTTCTTAGAACTGGGTTTTCAAGTAATAGGTAGGGACAGGCTGTGCCATTTGTACCTTCACAATCTTAGAAACATTTTATAACCATGATAAGTGTAAGGACTTGTCATTACTCTGATACCTCTTTTAGTTTATGCCAAGAAGATAATAAATGTGCACTTTACACACAGTACTAATACTTGGGACTGGGAGTTATGAGCTTCTCCTCTCTCCTTATTCACTTACCGCTTCTAACCTATTACTTCCACCAGAATAATAGTAATGCTATTGGCACCCATATATTTTTAGATGTATCAGAAAGTAAAAGAGTCATTATATGATCAATTTTTTATACCTTTGATGGATAACTGCTCAATCAAGAAGATCCATCATTTTGAAAACATCATTTGCCAATGAAATTCATTTTGCTGCTATGCTATACAGGCAGCAATAGCTGACCTATCACAAAGGCTCTCTCTAGACTTGATGAAAGCCTATAACAACAACATGGACCTACATAAAGCATGCTTTACTTGAGAAATATCCATTTGTTAAAGTTACAGGGGAAATATTGCAACTTAAAAATCACTTGGAAAAATGAAGTTATCTCTATTTAGTTAATTATCTTGATTTAGTCATATTGTAATATTGACTATGGCAGCCCCAAACAGATTACATATAGAAACCCTAAGCAATTAACTAATTACTGCTTTTATAATTGAATTCTTAAAGAGTTGCACAACAGCCCTGGCTGATGTGGCTCCGTGGATTGAGTGCCAGCCTGCAAACCAAAGGGCTGCTGGATTGATTCCCAGTCAGGGCACATGCCTGGGTTGCAGGCCAAATCCCCAGTAGGGGGCAGGCAAGAAGTAACCACACATTGATGCTTCTCTCCTTCTCTTTCTTTCTCCCTTCCCCTCTCTCTAAAAGATAAATTAAATCTTTCAAAAAAAGTAATTAGAAAAAAGAACATCTGTTATTTTTTAAGAGTTGCACACCATATAGTTATATATTTTCGAAACATCACAAAAACCCAAATGCACCTATTTGTAAGCATCAGAATGTGTAAATTTTATGAGGACCAAGCTATAATCAAAGCCCCATTGAGCCTAATGTCAATCATCATCTACATGCTCTGCCATGAAGAAAACATACAGCGTGTTCTCTGCATCCAATGAAAGATGCTGTTTTGCATGGAAGGAAATCAAGAATAAAATAATCATTCTCCACTAGGCCAAGGTAGAGGTGGGGCAGGGGGGCAAGGACCACAGAAAAAGAGAAAACAACAGAGGCCTTCTGAAAATGTTTAGTGATGCCAATGAAATGGCATATTTTAAAACATATGTGAACAGTCTTGTTGCCACAGTGGATGGGTAGCCCACACTATTAGACTGTGACAACGAAAAAGAGAGTGTGCTCCTTTTGAGCACTGAGTCACCAAAAGTCACAAAGTTCACAGGTAGATGTATTTTCAGGTAAGGGAACAAGATGAGGTGAAGAAACTGACCTCGCTACCAGTTTAGCAATAGAGGTTAAGAGATAAACACATTTGAAGGAAAAAGTCTGTTAATATTAAAGCACCGGTGCTCAGCTGAAGCCCTTATTATTGATAACTGCCCATTTAGTGCTGACAATTACAGTTACTACTGTATACAAGCATCAGTCCCTACACACCAAAGTCACAGAGAGACCATGGTGAGCACACTCACTCTGTGAGTTAGGGATTCCACCAATCACAGGGTATCAGCACCACGTGTCAATCTTCAGGCATGCACACAAAGGAAAAAGAAACTGATATCTGTTAATAAACAATCCTCACCATCTCAAATTGGACTTCTTGTGCCAAGAAATTTATTTTGTTGTCCAAACGAAAATGTCTCTATGGACCTCCTGAGTCATCCAATAACTTTCCTGTCCCTAAAAATATTCTTTTTAGGATGTTGCCTTCTAAAAGAGGAGATATTAAGATTAATAGGCACTCGTGGACCTCCATTTAAAAAAAAAACAACAACTAGCAACAAACTACAGCCTGAGCTGGATCCTGTTTTCAAATGATAGGCAAGAGCAAGAAGACAACCCACATTCTGTAATTACTTTTTGTTACACGTTAATGACTAAAACAGCTTCTGTGCAGGTTTTGGATCAATGAGGCCAAGTATCGGCTACACAGCATTGAACTTACGTGAATGGGAAGTGGATGACAGTAAAAGTTAAGTTGCAGCAGAAAACAAGAGTTATGGAAACATGAGTCCAGCATGAGAAGCGAACGACTTCCGGTTTCCTAGAACACACCCCTCGCAGGCTCTGATTTCTGATCGCCACGGCAGCTCACAGCATTGTCCTTCCAGCACTTCGGGGAAATGCTTGGTTGCGCCAGGCTCTGCCTTCTTACATGACCTTTGTGGAAACTACTCGTTTCCATTTCTCTTACTTCTGTAAAATGTCAAGTGAAAGCAATAAGATAATCACTTGCCCTCAATTTTCTCAATAATGTAAGGTTTTAAGGAGCATCTGCTAGAACTCTAAGATAATAGGCTATTGTGTGTTCTCAATCCTCCCTTCCTCCTTTACTTCTACTCGAGGGAAATCTATTTCTAACAGTATCTGCTCTAAAGTTTAGGGGGCTTAAACGTGTTGCTCTTTTACCCAAAAAGTGCTCTCAAACATACTTGTTTTCTGAGTAAATCTCTTTTGAAAGAAAAGTTCTACTTTTCCCTGGAGTGTTTATAATGAGTAACATTAAAAAAGTAGGTATGGATGGAAAAAGAAATAACGTTTTTAAGAACTGTTTTACCAACATCAAGTATGAGTTCTGCCCTTGACCCTTCTTCTACACCTGCAAACAATTACCCAGCACAATGGATTTCAACAACAGGTTTTAAGAAGCAGTTTTCAAAGAAGTAAAAAATAAAAGTCAATCAATTCTTGTTTTACACAGAGAAAGTAGACCATAGACATCAACAGGCTATAGTTCCTTCCCTTACTCTGTGGATTAAAAATTAAAACAGTTCTTCTAGACCTATAGTAGGTATAATTCACATTTCATTCCCTGAACATGTTCTGTTCCAGCCAGTATAACAAAATGAAAATGCTATGAAGCAAATTGTACTCCAGTCCTAATTTTCACTGTATTAAGATTATGCAAAAGAACTATAAAGCTACTACAATCAACTTTACATGTGGAAAACAAAACATGAATATTAATGGAAATCAATATCCTCTACCTAGAAATACTCCCTAAAACTTACTTTAAAAATAAATTTGAATGAATATTAAAATTGATCAAGCTTTATGTAATTTATCTTAAGCGTACTACACATTCAACTGCATTAAAAAGTACCCAGAAATCAAAAATATCATTTCGAAGAATGTATTCCATGCACATAAAACCAAACCAGAGTCCATAACAGTGACCAAAAGCAGGTCTTACAGGGTTTTGTTTTTTTTTTAAGGAAGAACAGCTCATTTCCCCAGTAGCGGACCATCCACATCACCATCATCCTTGTCTGGCATCGCCAATGGCTCCCCAAGCATCAAAGACAAATTCATCTGGGAACGCAAAGTCTCCGAGAGTTTTGTCAAGTGCCACAGCAAATTCATCCGGATTTCTTTTGTCCTTTCCAGCTTCAAATATTGTGGAAGCTACCAAAAATAATTTTTATAAATTATTGGTATATGAGACAGCATCAGAGGACTGAGAAAAATAGCACCATAAAAATTACTTTCTAGGAGTAACATGCATAGATATCACATATTTCTACTACCAATTAAACAGTAAGATGCTCTCTATCACATATCAAAGTAGCAAAGATCTCTTTAAACAATTCATCTACTGCACCCAGGTTTGCAGCTGCCACCCCTGCCCTCTCCTCCACCTTGGGGCCCTTCTGTGGAGCAAAACTCCTGAAAAGCAAGCCTGTGACTAACTCTGCGGGAAAACAGAGCAACTTACAAAGTGATCATAACAGTAAGTCTAGTAACCATCTGTCACCATACATTGTTGTTACAACATTATTGACTCTATTCCCTCTTCTGTACATTATGTTTCTATGACTTATTTTATAACTCAAAGTTTGTGCTTCTTAATCCCCTTCCCCTCTGTAAAAAAATATGCACTACAGCATTTGAGCAGAGGGGCTATCATTAAAGTAATAAATCCTAAAATGGTTCAAAAGAAAAAAGACTTTGTACTGTATTTGTAACTTTTCTGTAAGGTTGAGATTGCTTCAAAAAAATTCTTTGAAAGCATAAATTGTGAGGAGAAATCAAATCTCTTCTCTTTATTATAGTTACTTCCTTTCTCCCACCAGGCCCCAAGCCTCACTCAGCCTTGACCCAAATGCTTTCTCATTTATCATTAGACCAGATGCTAACACTTCAAAAAGCGGGGGAGTCCTTGGCTGCATCTGGACCTTTTGCTGCAGCCCAGGGGCCCTGCCATGTTTAATAAAAAAACTTCTATGTATTATTTTAAATATGTGAAGGCTGGCCTGGATATAGTGAAGCAAACACTCAGATACACTGGTTTGACTTTGTAAATTTGGCTTTTGAAAAGCAGTTTGACAACAAGTATCAAAATCCTTTAAAATGTTCATATCATTTGATCCACTAACATTTCCATTTCTGGGAATCCATACTTTTTTATCTCCAATTTTATTGAGATATAACTGACATATGGCACTATGTAAGTTTAAGGTATATAGCATAATGATTTGACACATATACACAAGGTGGGAAAAGTAGGTTTACTGTTGTGAGTACACAACCTTGGTGTTTATTCTTATATTATTACTTATTAATTTTTGTATTACAACTGTAAACCTACTTTTGCCCACCCCTGTATATGTGATGAAGTGAATACCATAAAAAGTTTAGTAAATATCCATTATCTCATATAGCTACAAAAACTGAAAAAGAAAAAATATCGTTCCTTGTGATGAAACTCTTAGGATTTACTCTGTTAACTTGCCTATATCGATATATCATACAGCAGTGGTAACTATAATCATCATGTTGAACAATACATCCCTAATACTTACTTATAATGAAGTTTATAACTTTTGACCACTTTCAATCAATTTTCCCTCCATCCACCTCTGGTAACCACAAATCTGATATTTGATTTTTTTTAATGTGTTTGGGTTTGGGGTTGCTTTTTAATTAGATTCCAAATAGAAGTGAGATTATATAGTATTTGTCTTTCTCTGTCTCCTCACTTCACTTAGCATAATGCCCTCAGGTTTCATCCATATTGTCACACATGGTAGGATTTCCTTCTTTTTGACAGCTGAATATTCCATAACACACACACACACACACACACACACCACAACTTCTTTATCCATTGTCTGTCAGGGACACTTGGGTTGTTTCTACGTCTTGGCTGTTGTAACTCGTGTGTAATCACACAAGGATGCATATATTTCTGAGATGTAGTGTTTCCTCAGATATGAGGAAATCAATACTTTTCTGTAAATCTTAAAAGCAGAAAAGAATTTAGCATAAAAATGGACCTAACAGTATTTTTTTAAGAAGCCTAAGGTGTTGGATCACTCAGTTACCACTGGTATGAGGAAATATTTGATGAAATAGTTTGAAATCATTTTAACCAATGTTTATGAATAACTTTGTAACAACTTGGGGAAATCCTTTTGTTTTAATATTTACTAAAAAAGCAATGCACAAATTTTATATTATAATAACAACTATGTTTTTACAAAAATCTCTACACAGGATGGATAAATGGAGAAGAATGTGATAAAGCAATTATAATAATACAGTAATGGCAGAATCTAGGTGATAGGTGTAGAAGTACTCACTAAAAAGTCTTTCGACTGTACCGTATGTTTGACAATTTCCATAATAAAATATAATATTAGGGAGAGGAACCTCTACACAATGGGAGAAAATTTAAAGTGTAGTAGATACGTTCAAATTAAAGAGAAAGTTCGTTGTAGTTTTAAGTTGGGACCTGTTCGATGCAATAAAATGAGTGGCTTGTAAAATTACTCTGTACGCTCATCTGGTTTGGGATCCTTGGTCACAAAATGAGAGAAATGATGGTTTAAGATGCCTGTACTATAACCTCATGGTCCGAACTGCGGACTCTCACTCGTGCTGGCACACACAGAGCAGTGAAAAGAAAGAACAATGCTCCTACACACAATACAGTCCCAGAGTTGCTCAGACCTCCAGTTACACAGTCCTACATATTCTAATGCCACCACCATTATTACTAGTAATAATGAATAATGATCATTGCCACATATGATAATAACTATCATATTAATTATGATATGAGAGGAACTTCACACATATTATTTAACCAAATGCTTTGGCAACCCTATGAGGGTTTTAGTTGTGCCCTTTTACAGAGGTGGAAATTAAGGGTCAAAGTTTAATGATTTGCTCAAAGGCTAACGCTTCAAACTAATGAAATTAGGACTCGGACTCCCTATGAACTCACCACTTTTTGTGCCTATTCTCAGACATTCGGTCAAGAAACATTCAGCAAGTGTTTACTATAGTAGAGGGACTATAGTAGAAACTGGGATTAAAAACTGAGTGAGATATGGTACCTGCCTTCAAGAAACTCCTGGTTTTACAGAAGCAACAAAAATATCAATTAGGCAGCTTCATAATTGTGTTGGAAATATTGTATGTAATACAGTGCTCCACAAATCCCACAAATCTTTTAAAAACCAGAAATGTGCTACAAAATTTTTAATCGAAATTGAGAATGCAGCACACAGTTAACATGTTATCCATTGTTGCTAGTACATCAAGTATAAACACAGATTCGAAACACCGTAACAGGAGAAATAAACTGGTATGATTGTATTTCTTTTTTTGATAAAAGATTATATCTCTGATTTAAAAGAAAAGCCAAAGAACTAGGGAAATGTATTACATTAACATAAAGATAGCTACTAAAATGCTTTTCATCTGTTAACTATACTAGATCTGAAATATACTGCAATAATATTTAACATCTGGATAAAAGTTAGCAAAAATACTCCAGTTAAAGAATTGTTACACCACATACAACAGCAAAGTGCTGACCTCTTGTGGCTATTTCAGGAATATCTTTATATCAGTAGCACTACTGAACAATTTTTACATTATTAATGACACTTATTTGGTGTCCAAATAAGTGTCATTATTTTACAAAATACTGATTTATCTATTTTACAAAATATTGATCAATCTATATTTTACACTAGGTTTTTAAATACTTAAGTAGAACTTTAGACATACAATATTACTTCAGGTGAAAAATCTTGGTATCAAAGTGCCAGAATCGAGTCTCATCTTAAACTGGTAGCTGACTTTTTGAGCAAGTTACCAGAATTCTCTGAATCTGTTTTAATAAAATACACATAGCAGAACTTAGATAAAGACTGACATCACCACTGTTCAGTTAACCATTAAATCTGTAACTCTATCTCTTTCTGTGGAAGGTCTTCAGCACTAATTTTCTCTAAGACTTCTCATAAATGTCAATTCATCTCAAACAATTCACATGAGTCACACACACATCAATATAAAGCCAATGAAGTGCTTTTTAATAAAATCTATTTCCAAAATTTTATTAGCTTTATCTGTGAAGGGTAGCTTTCTATAGTATTTATTGTTTTCAATTAACAGAAAAAAGAAAAATCATCCTATGGAGAAATGTAATTATTTCTAATAAAATACCATTATCATATATTTTTTAAAGAGCCAAAAAGACTTTAGGGGAAAAATTATTTAGGAACAGCATTTAGATTTTCTTTCTACACACTTCTGGATCTCTTTATAAATTAGTAATCCAAAAATTCCAAAGTTGTTAAAATAATCATCAAAGTCCTAAATTGGTATTATCAGAAAATGTTAGTTCTATATACAATTTATACAGTCTTAATATTCACTAAGAAACTCAGATGATCCAATTTTCCATTATGTTAAGTCAATCCTATATAAGGTCTTAGCTCAAACTCTTCCAGAACCTATTCTTTTCCAAGGGGCAACATTCTAAGGCAACCCTTTGGCACTAAGTCATTTGAAATGTTACAGTTCATGACTTGACTTGACAACCAAACGGAGCGCTATTATCTTCAGGGTTACTTGCTCCATAAACTCATTTGAATTACTTGCCATTTTCAAATGGTAAATACATCCCAATTTTTTTTTTGAGGTTAGTGTTTTGGTTTTAGTTACTTTACTTAGTTAATATAAACTTACATTAACAACTACAGAATAGCATGATGTCAGTGTACTTCTCATTAAGAATTAACATTTATGAAAACTAAGAAACAGAAGAAATACAAATAATTCATCTGTTGAAGCAGTGACACATTTGTGATTTACATTTTATGCTAATAGGATCTGAATAGATAACTTCCTAATTTAACAGTGGTTGCATTCTTCAATTAATTACTTCCTTTAAACTTTACCCCCATGGTGACTGATCACATTGCTAATCATGTATAATAATAATGACTTTTCATGTCACTGGAGGAATTTGCTACAAATGATTAATTGTAAAGGGATTAGTAGTTAATTTACAAGGAATTTGTGAAGAAGATTTAGTACCCTGAATTTGTCAGAGAAAAAGAAAATTGATTTTTAAAGAACTGTTTTTTAATTCATTTATAATTACCTGAATCATTTTCCAACACTCTTCCTATATTTAATAACAAAAGAGCAAAACTAATTCACTTAACTATTCCCAATTTAGAGTTAAATAAATATAAGGCCTATACCTAAAATTAAGTTTTAAAGTTGAGGACTGCTTTAAGTTATCACCTTTGAAAACAGTGGTTCTCCAAACTATATCAAACTACAAACAGATATTAAACTACACTGCAAGGCCATAGTAATTAAAACAGCATGGCACTGGCATAAAAATAGACATATAGATCAGTGGAACAAAACTAGAATTAAACCCACACCTTTATGGTCAATTAAACATTTGACAAAGCAGGCAAGAACATACAATGGAATAAACACAGTTTCTTTAATAAATGATGCTTGGAAAATCAGATAGACATATTCGAAAGTGAAACTAGACCACCTTCTTACAGCATGTACAAGAACAAGCTCATAATGGATTAAAGGCTTAAATGTTAGACTCGAAACCATGAAAATCCTAGAAGGGAACACAGGCAGTAAAGTCTCAGACATTTCTCATAGTAACATTTTTTCTGATGTCTCCTTGGGCAAGAGAAACAAAAGAAAAAATACATAAATGGGACTACATCAAACTAAAAAGGTTTTGCAGAGCAAAAAAAAATCATCAACAACATGAAAAGACAACCCATGGAATGGGAGAACATACTTGCCAGGGATACATCTAATAAAGGGTTGACATCCAAACTTTATTTAAAAACTTATACAACTGAACACCAAAAAAAAACAAACAATCCTATTTAAAAATGGGCAGAAGATCTAAATAAACACTTCTCTGTAGAGAACATACAGATGGCCAGTAGGACATATTAAAAGATGCTCAATATCACTAATCATCAGAGAAATGCAAATTAAAAGTACAATGAGATATCACCTCACACCTGTCAGAATAGCTATCAATAAATCAACAAATAACAAGTACTGGTGAGGATGTGAAGGAACCAGCATGTACTACTGGTGGGAACGCAGGCTGGTACAGCCACTATAGAAAACAGTATGGAGTTACCTCAAAAAATTTAAAATGAAACTGCTTTATTACTCAGCAATTCCACTTCTGGGAACATATGTAAAAAAACACAAAACACAAATTCAAAAGAATGTATGTACCCTTATGTTCACTGCAACGGTACTTACAAAAGCCAAAATTTGAAAGCAGCCCAAGTGTTCATCATTAAATGAGTGGATAAAAAAGCTGTGGTATATTTACATGGTGGAATACTACTCAGCGATAAAAAAGAAAGAAATCTTACCTTTGGTGACAGTGTAAATGCACCTGGAGAACATTATGCTAAGTGAAATAAGCCAGTCAGAGAAAGACAAATACCATACGATGTCATTTATATTTGGAATCTAATGAACAAAATAAACCAACAAAATAGAAACAGTCTCATGGATTAAAAAACACACTGTTAGAGGGGAAGGGGTTTGGGCCGCTAGGTGAAAAATGTGAAGGGATTAAACAAAAAGAAAAACAAACATACTTGCATAGAAACAGACAACAGTACTGTGACTACAAGAGGGAAAGTGGGGGTGGGAAGGTAGAAGAGGGTAAACAGGGGACAGATGGTGATGGACCGAGAATATTTTGGATGGTTAATGCAGAATATAATACATAGATGGTGTATTATAGAATTGTACACTTGAAACCTATATAATTTTATTAATGAATGCCACGCCAATAATTCAATAAAAATGTTTTAAAAGAAAGGTATGGTTCTCCTAAATTTGAACTTATCAGCAATCGATGTACTACTTCCTGGACTTACAATGTTCATACAGTTACTTATTCAACTGTATTCAGTAGAAATAACGTCATATTATTTTTCCGACATATACTACCTAATCTAAGTTTAATAGCAGTGACAATTCTAAAACTCCTTTACCCCTTTTGCATATGCATGTGTATAACTGTTGCAGGCCCACATGATTTATGCAAATGTCTATATTGTTCCAAATACAAGAGATTTGAGGAGAAAAGTTTTAAGATACTGGGTTTTTACAGAATCATCTCATCTATACCTTCTTATCTGTGTGGAGCAAGAATATATCATATGCAAATTTTATATTTCTCTTCAAGGAGCTAGAACCGAGTACCACCTTTTTTTCAATTACAGATATCATCTATACATCCAACATAGAAATTTTATTTTAAAAGTTCAGACAGGTGCCCTGGCTGGTGTGGCTCAGTGGACTGAGTATTGGCCTGCAGACCAAAGGGTCACCAGTTTGATACCCAGTCAGGGCACCTGCTTGGGTTTCGGGCCAGGTCCCCAGTAGGGGGTGCACAAGAGGCAACCACACATTGATGTTTCCCTCATTTTTTTCTCCCTTCCTCTCTCTAAAATAAATAAATAAAATCTTTTAAAAATAACAAAATAAAAGTTCAGGCAGGCAAGAAAAAAATAAGAATGCATTATCTAAGGAAAAAGGAAAACTAGTGGAAATAGGAAAGGAGGAATAGCTTCAAATATTCTACCTGAGGTTAATTAAAATACTTTAGTGGGGGGTGGGGAGAGCAGGGAAGAGTAATGAGGGGGGAGGGAATGAGAACAACCGTAACTGAACAACAATTTTAAAAAATTTAATACTTTATCTGGTAGCAAATAAACAAGACTTTCCCAGCCTTTGACGCTAAGAAACTCGTTAAGTACTTAATACTTCACACACCCAAGTGCACACACAAGGAGGCACATAGGCACAAACCCCACCAGTAAGTGCACATTTACTCTTTCCTTACCCAGGGAATATTTCTTTCTTCCTTCTACAGAAGGGGTCAGCAGCTTCCACAATCTCAGCCTTAGTAATTCAGAAATTACTCTCAACTCCAGAGGTTTGACCTAGACCTACCATCCCTCCCAACCTCAGCAATTGGTTCAAGTGAACCAATCAGCTGGGTCAGAGACGATCCTGACAATTTTGTTTGAATGACTTAGCAAAGTCCCTGCCTCTTTCCCCTTGTTTTAGACACCAAGATGTAGAGGGTGGAGCCATCACAGTCATTCTGACTCCATGAAGGAGGGCCTGAAGCTACCAATACCACGGAATGAAAGGGGAATGTAGAGAAGAGAAATCACACCCTGACGATAGCATGAGAACTTTGGATCTAGCCAGTGTTGAAGCCAGGAGCTACCTCTGGACTTTTCAGGTGTAAGAACCAACACATTTCCCTCGCTTTTTTCCCCTTAAGTCATTTGGAGTTCAGTCCGTTGTTTGTGTTGTTTTGTTATTTATAACTGATAGAGTCTTAATTAATAAATTAAGATTCTGCCATCCTAATGATGACATAAGAAATACACAGAAATTCACTGCTCAACTGCCCTTATCAGTCATACACCAGGTGTGTCCATTTCCTTCATAATTCTGATTCATTTATCACAGGGTTTCATTAACCTTATGAATGTGTAAAACTTTAATATACTGTATTTTGCTGTGTATAATGCTCACCTGTATATAATTTGCACCCACATTTTTGGCCCAAACTCTCAGTAAAGAAAAAAATCTTTTGTTTTAATTTTTAATTCAATTTTGCATTTATTTATATTTAGATACTTGTTTTTTGTATTATAAAGAAATTTTAACATTTATTTTTGAGCATATTATGGTACAAGAAATTTTATGTAACAAGTAATTACAAAACACAAGAATAGATACAAGGTATTTTAGATATTATCCATGTATAATGTGTAATACCCTTATTTTTCCCTGAAAATTTTGGGCAAAAAAGTGTACATTATACATGGTGAAATATGGTAATATAATATAAATACACAATTTAATCAATGTACAGCTAATATATCAAATAATATCTTGTATATGTATCATTTATAATATTCTTTTTATATATATTTTTGAAACCATAAAACAAGCCTAGAAAGAAAATATTATTAGAGTTAATAGGTAAAATACTGAAGTGTAGAAAAGTTTACTTGACTCTAAGCATTCACAGCTAGTAAGTAGTAAAGGCCGGGTAATCTTTTCATTATTCTTCATCATCTCTATTTTTTTCACTATGCTTTTCATCACTATACAAACGCTTTTTATCCTGAAAAGCATCATTGACTATAAATGCAAGAAAGGCATAAGCATTAAGTTACATCAAATTAAATATATATATATGACATTTTAAAATAGTATAACCTTACCTAAATCAGTATCTCGAATTCCCATGTACGATTCAAGAAGATCATCAACCTTTTCAATTGCCTTGGCTTTGGTTTCAGAGGGCTTTATTGAAGAAAAGCAAAATAAGATATTATATTGTTATATGAAATTTCTTGAATGTCAAGGCATACATAAAGGAAAATATGAGATGGAGCTAGTTCATGGTTGTTTACTTAAGCTAATTTGAATGCAAATATATCTAGAATGTGCTCTGCAACTCAGTACAAATCTATACAGTAAGTACTTATTTTTAGCATCAGCGTTAAGGGCTATGGATTCAAATAAAAGCCAAGAACACAGACTCCAAGTAGCTGGCAATCAAAAAGGGGATACAGATGTGAAAATAAATGGCTAAATGACAATAATAAGCACAATTTTTTAAAGGATCTCTAAGGTACAGAAGCATCATGGGGAAAGTAAATTTAAATCTCTAAGAGTCATGGAAGACTTCAGAAGGAAGCTGACAAGATTGTGTTTTCAAAGATGAGCTGGTATCGATAAGCAGGGAGGGCACTGCACGAAGATGGCAGTAAACGCGAAGTCTACGCGAGGTCCGTGAGTCTGATCGAAGACTGTAGCGTGGGGTGGGGCCTGAAGAGCCCGTTGTGATGAGAAACACGGGCAGGTACGACTAGACCTTTAGGGGACCAGGGTACCATGAAAGGGGCTCTCTGGTCTTCGTCCTGCCAGCCACAGCCTCCAAACCTTTCAGTGGCTCACCCCAGAGAAAGACATTTCTGAACACATACATTTATTGGCTATTTTTTATTTAATTGTATTACTTTCAGATTTTATAAATTATATACATGTATTACCACATTAATCTATTGTGCACATTATAAAGATACACAAAAATACGGTTTTTAAAAGATTCAGGTCATGGTGAAATATTCTTAAAGTAATTTTTGTCTTACATATTAATAGTACCAATACATTTTTGTTTTTTCTAAAACTGTTATTAAAAGTTTCAGTGAATTGCAATATACACTGAAATCATCATAGTGGAAACCTCAAACTAATATAATGTTACAACTCAATATTTAAAAATTCTTTTCAGTGAAAAAAATGAGTGGGTATACAGCGTGTGGTAAAAGTAGGCTTACATTTCTTCATAGTCATAATGCAATAATTAATAAATAATAATATAAGAATAAACTGTGTTTTGCATACTCACAACTATAAACCTACTTTTGTCTTACCCTATTTTTATAATAATAAAAGTATTATATTATTCTTTTTAAATATAAGTTTTATATTTGATAAAGTCTTATCCTGTGCTCAATTCATTTCAATATTTGGTTTTAAATGACTTCACAGCTGAAAAGGAAATGTCTAACGATGTTAAAAATCTCTAAGTGCAAATGTGGAATTCACAATTACATTGTAAGAGATTCATACTTATAGTATTGTTATAAATGTATATTGCTTTGTATTCTCCAAACTTATTTAAAATATGTGCATTTTCATGCAAATCAAATTTTATTTTTAGTTCCCTGAGGATATTGTTACAACTTTCTCATGTTTTTGTTTATCTTAACTAAGCCTTAAACAGTATCAGACACCATATATCACTCTTGCCTTCTTTCCGGCGTCTGGAATGGCCTCTGTAAAGCAATAGGCTGTGCAAAGTAACTCAGGCACTTACCTGCACGTCTGCCCGGCCATTGTGTAAATTACCGCAGCAAGTACCAGTACTTCCCATACAGAGTCGCCACCATTCTGTCAGTAATTATAAACGCCTCCTGGTCTCATCGCCCCTCTCCCATTCACACTCTGATTACCTGGGTTAGCACTCATCTTTTCTTTTTTAAAATGGTAGTGTACTTGACAAAACATTACATCAACTTCAGGTGTACAAACCTGATGCGATATATGTAGGTATTGCAAAATCATCACCACGATGAGTCTAGTTAACATCCATCACCACACAGAGTTACAATTTTTTCCCCTGTGATGAGAACTTTTAAGATTTATTCTCTCCGCACCTTTCAAATATACAGCACAGTACCATGGACCACAGTGACCGTGCACGACATCCCCAGGACATATTTGCGCACGGAAGTCTGTGCCATTCGACCGCCGTTCCCCATTCTGCCTATCCCCCACCCTGCCTCTGGCAACTACCAATCTGTTCCCTGTAGCTATGAGTTTGGCTTTGTTTTCTTTTCAGACTCCACGTGTAAGTGAAATCATATGGTATTTGTCTTTTCTGACCTATTTCACTTAGCATAATGCCCTCAAGTTTCATCCATGCAGTCACAAATGGCAGAATCTGCTTCTTTCTTATGGGTGAAGAATATTCTCCATCTTTTCTTATTTGCACATATTTTCCAGTTTGTCTCCTTGCTTACAATCTTCAGTCTCTCAAATCCACCCTGTTCAACAACACATCCCCCAGAACTAAGAATTCTTCTAAATACAAACAGTGCTGATCCCAGTTCTCAAACAGCTCCTCCCTTATCTGCAGGCACTTCACATCCTGACCCAGGCCTGCACCTCCAGCCTCCCCAACCCCCACCAGTACCTCCAGTGCCCACACTCCAACCCCATGAACACCTCTAGGGCCCCCACCGCCATCACTGTTCCCGCCTACAACACTCTTCTCACCGTCCTTGACCAACTTGGCCATTGGCCCCTGCTTTGTGCCACCAACCCTTCCCCCTGGTTGGTAATAGCTTCTTTTCATGCCTCTCTTCTTTCAAAGGAAAGCAAGGTCTTTGTTCTGGTCTTTGTATCACCAGCTCCTGGACCACCTTCTGAATAAACTGGGAGGTGTGTAGGTGCAGTGTCATTCACAAGGTCCTCAGAATTAACATCAGAAGCTGTGCTAGGTAATGAGGGGATGATTTGTTTCAATCTATAAATCCTTCAGTGTTTGAAATAGATTGTAAGTCATTTGTATCAAATTTACTATTATTACCACACTAGCTCTTTCCTTTCATCATGAGCTATTTTAATTGCTCTATTTAATGAAACAGGCTATGCAAATAAGAATGGAGTTTCAGATGTTTATCTTTGAATGAATCTTGCTACCTCCCCAGAGAGATCTTCAGCTATTCTTTTCATTCCAGCAGCTTATACACAGCAGATGCTCAAAAAAATGTATTAACCATGTTAACTATTAGAAGTGACACTTCCCCTGCAGTGACATGGCATTTCCTTTGCCACCCCGGGTACCTTTGCAGGCCCCTTTAGGGTCTGTCCTTTTCTGACAGCCTCCTTCCCCAGCTCCTCACCACCAGCTCCACCCCCCCACACTGTTTTTTCCATTGCCTTACACATTCCTTTCTTCCACTGAAGTTTACTCATTCGTTCAGTAAACATTTACTGGCCTCAGCAACGTGCCTGGTGGTGCGCTGGGCTAAGGAAAGGTAAAGACTTGGAAGGACCAGAAGTCACTGCCTGCATTTTTTTTTTACATACGTCATCCTACCTCACTTTTAAAATGCCTTTGACTCTCCCTGGTTTCTTTGTTGCCCTTTGCCTCCAAATCAGTTCTTTTCTGCACCCAGAACCAAGGCACACAACTCGAAATCTTCCTCTAGATTCCCCCAAATTGACAATATCCTCAGTGGCTCAAAAATTCAAAAGGATTTGTCCTGGCTGATATGGCTCAGTGGATTGACTGCCAGCCTGTGAACCAAAGGGTCATAGGTTCAATTCCCAGTCAGGGCACAGGCCTGGACTGCAAGACAGATTCCCAGTAGTGGGTGTGTAAGAGGCAAGCACACGTGGATGTTTCTCTCCTTCTCTCTCCCCCTTCATTCCCCTCTGTCTAAAAATAAATAAATAAAATCTTTTTTTAAAAAAGGACAACCTTGGCCTCATGGTTCCTTGAGCATCTGCTCCAGCAAGTCTCCTGACAGCTGACCCTGACCATGGTCGCCCCATAAGCTCCGGGAACCTGCTCTACAGAAAGAGCCTCCGAGTGGTTCGCCTGTCTCACACCTTGGCTTTTCAAACACTCAGGGATCCTGGGACAATACGCACGCCCAGAGGGACTAGATGAGCCCGGGGCCTGTGCTCCTGCCTCCTGAATTTCCCTGGCCTCAGCCACCTGCCCCATCTCCCCAGTTCCCACAGGATGACTTCATCGCCGCTGTCTTCTTCGCTGTTGTGAGCGGGCCTGACGTCCCGCGTGCCACTTCCAATCCTGCCCCAACCCCTCCTGTCCTCTGTCTCCCCCGCCTTCATTATGCTTTTGTCTCTTCTGCTTCTGCTGTTTTCCACCCAAACGCTGACCCACTCGATCCGTGAAACCCTCACTCTTCCCAAGTTTAAATGTACTATGTGTTAATTCATTAATCCAGCAAAGATTCGAGCCCCTTTGATGTGTCAGGTACTGTTCTGGGTTTGGGAGATACTGCAATGAACAAGACACATGGGGAGGCGGGGCTGAGGGTGGAGGGATTATGAAAAAAAAGGAGAGAGAAAACACTCATGAACACAGACAACAGTGTGCTGATTGCGGTGAGGGCACGTGGAGGTGGAAGAAGGAATGGGGGGGTAAGTGGTGATGGGAAAAATGAAGTAAAAATGTACGTTTAAAAAAAAGACACGAGCAAAGGAGATAGACAATAGACAAAAAGGAAACAAGCATATAATGAGCCATATTGTGTTTAGTGCTTTAAAGAAAATTAAGGGTAAGGAAGTTAGGCAGCAGAAGGGGCAGCAGGAATAGCTACTTAGACAAGATACTTAGAGGCATCCTTTTAGAGAAGGTGGTATGTGGGCAGAATCCTGAAGAAGGCAAGGGAGGGAGCCATACCCACAAACATGCAAAGCATTGAGGTAGAGGACACAGCGGCACAAAGACCCCGAGAGAGCACACATCTGGAGCGATAGGGGACAGAGGGAGACCCATGTGGCGGACGCAGAGGAAGCCAGGAGCAGAGTGGCGGGAAATGAGATCAGAGAAGAAATGCAGGGTCAAATCTTGTCCATCATTTGAGGACGTCCGCATTCATTCAGAGTGACATGGGAAGCTACCGGAGGGCTTTGAACAGGAAGGTAACAAAACCTCACTGGTGCTTCTGAATGACAATTCCGGCTGCTGTCCTGAGCACAGAGGGGAAGAGAGCAGGGTGGGCCCAGGCAGACTGATGAGGGAACTGCGATGCTCAGGATCAGACACGGGCAGAAGAGGTGCCCTGCTGTCAGACGCTGGCCTGCCGTGCAGTCAGACCGGCCAGGACTCGCTGACGGATGGGACGTGGGACATGCCAGGGAACAGTCTAAGGTGACTACAAAATGTTTCACCTGAGGAGACTGGAATTCATGAATATTATCTTTCATTATCAAAATCTTAAGTCTTTTTCCTCCTACAGGTGGCTCTGCGACTTTGGGGGGTTCTTAGATCTTTGAACATTTTTGAGCCAGTCCAGATGTCCACAGGCTCCAGAAAAAGTTGCCTGCAGGTAGCTGAGGATGGCTATAGATCACAGTCTCTTCTCACACACTTAGTTTCTAGAGTTCCTTCTTAAAGCTCAGTAACTTTCATATTAAGTGAGCAATGAATTAAAAGTCGTGCTTTAGTTAGAATGAATGGTATCTTATTGAAGCTCATGGTTTTACCTTTCCTCCCAGCTCCAATGACTATAAATGCCCATACGTGTCCAAACAGAACGGAGACCAACTGAACCCAACATACCATTTCTTCCACGATGGCCGGACCTTTGGATCTCAGGCGAAGTGTCTCCCTTTTGGTACCAATTCTTCCTGCTGAAGAATTTCCAGCTTTTGACCTTGGCTCTATTTCTATAAAGATACAATAGATGGGGAAAGATATATATTCAGAAATAATTCCAGCAAACTGCTGTAAAAGTTATGTAGTTTCCATCATGAAACTATGTACAATTATTACAGAGATTTTATAAGAAGCATTGCTTCTTATAGCATTTCCCAAAACAAATTCACCTGTCATTCCTTAGTCTCACGGGAGTCTCTACGAGAGGTCTGGCTACAAAGGGAAAAGGGAAGTATTTGAAATATACAGAAGGGAAAGAATCAAAGTTTTAAGGAATAAAAAATAAAATGGTTGTCTATAGGATCAGAGTAAAGAGGTGTTCCTGGAAGGAAAGCAGAGGTAAGGGGTCAGCTGGACTTCTCAAAAGCCGTGAAGAAGGGAAAGAGCCATATCTGAATAAATATTTTCTAAATAGAGGGGGAGAGAGAATGTTACTTGAAGACCTACCTTCTGTTTGATGCTTTATATACAAAATCCTAACAATACTCATACCAATCTATGAGGCAAGTTATAACCCTCATTTCACAGAAAAGGAAACTAAAAACTCACTAAGGAGAAGAGCTGGGATTCCAATCCAAATCCCATGACCCCAGAGCCTGTCTGCTTTTCCTCCACAACATTCCAACACCCGCCTCCCGGAAGCACAAGGGATAAATTCAGAAGTGACATCAGGAGAGAAGCAGGACCGTAAAGAAAAAGAGGCTGAAAACGGGTTCCGAGGAAGGCAGTCCCCTCAGGAGGCGGGCCAGAGCCAGGGAGGAAGAGTCCACGGGAAGCCGCTCTTTCCCTTCTGCTTGGTTTGTGTCCGTGTTTCATTTTCAGTTTTGATTGTCCACCTTATGAAGAGTTTCCCCCCAATACCAAGCAGTTCCGTAAAGGAGAGAAAGGGTAGGGTGGGCACCCAGGGTAAGCGGAAAGGGCTTGCCCTACCTAGGCCCCTCCCACAACCTAGTCCCTGTGAGAACGTAGCAAGAGGCCCAGGTCTACTTGTTTGTACAAGAACTGAACTCTCAGAGTTTGTTATGAATCTCCTGATTTTTAAGTGTTGGCAATTGTGTCAAACTTTGAAAAACATTTTGGCAAAAATAAAAGAGATCCGTGGATCAAATTCCAACCACGGGCCACCAATCTGTCACTTCTGCAAACATTGTCCAGGTCCCCTTGAGTGGAGACTGTACATGACAGCAGGTGGGGGCAAGAACAGAGGTGGGGTGGGAGGGTGGTGCACCAAGAACTGGAGGTAACTGAGCTCCAATGAGGAGCCACAGGACAGGCTGGTAAATACAAGCAGGTAGTGAGCGCCACACCAGCTCTCAAGGCACAAGACATCAGTGGGCCTGCGCCAATGTATTCGTACTGACTCGGAACCCAAAATAATTCCTGCCCTCAGCCAGTACTGCTTTGCTATTGAGAAGCTACTCCAAAGTGATCAAGGATTTTACATATTAATTTTAACCTGCATTCGGGGACAGAATTGCCAAAAACATAAGTTTTCCTCTGAGAATGAAAGCATTAAAAATTATCATGAGGTAAGTAGAGCAGATCCCCTAAGCAAAAACCTATAAATGGTGACTGATGATGTGAATGCTAATCACGGTGACAGGATTCTCAGGAGCCCGGAGCTACATCATCAGGTCCACAGCATTGGTCTTACCAGCTACACTGTGCCCTGTCTGAGGAGAATGGATCAACAGAAGCAAGATGCCCAGCATAGATTCCAAAAAAGGGCCCAAAGAAACAGACAAGGTCAGTCTGTGACTGGCACTGCCCAGGATTCTGGACCACCCGGCTACGGGAGTGTTCCCAGCAGAGCTATGTCCAGACGTACAGTGATCTGGACAGTGTCAGCTTCGTGGCACCAAGCTTCAAGATAAACAGCCTTATACTCTCCACTCCCTTCCCACATATACTCCACCCCACTGCCCCACAAAGATTTCACCAATGACCTACTTGGTGTAATTTGTCTTCCCATACACATTTCCTGGGGGGTGGGAAATGAACTGCCCGGGTAGTGCTTCGGTCCGCCACCACTTACACATTTCCAGTTGTCAAGTCATACGCTGGCATTCTGACTTAGGAACGAGTCTCTTTTAAGTTTGGTGAGCAATGGTGTAACCCTGGAAAACTGAACAACTCTGGATACACTGGAAAAGTAAAAGGCCTCTGGGATTTACAGAGCTGAGGAACCAGACTCTGGAATGTGGGAGCTCCACAAAGGGACTCTCATCCACGCTTGAGAGGGCAGCCAGCCTCCCTCGAGGGGGTCTCTGTCTTACCCGGCTCTTCTTACCTGCAACACCGTTCCTCAAAGGGAAAACGTATGCAGAATAGATTTTTTTTTTTTAATTAATAAGGTTTATTTTCTAAAGCAGGTCTCGGCATACAGCAAAAGTGAGGAGAAAGCACAGAGGTTTCCCAACACCCCTCCGCCCACACACGCACAGCCTCCCCCTTTGTGAACCCCACCACAGGGCACCCTGGTACGATCAGTGACCCCGCACCGACACATGGCCACCCAGAGCTCATAGTCTAGGTTAGGGCTCACTCATGATGTGTACGTTCTGTGAGTCCGGACAAAAAAATTAATGGTATGTATTTGGTATTGTAATGTCAAACAAAATAGTTTCACTGTCCTAAAAATCCTCTGTGCTCTGCCTGGCTATTCATCCAGATTTCTTGTTACCACCATGTTTATTTAACCTTTTCTCCTAGAGTGATATCTCACAACTAACCACTTGGTGGCGCCAAAGCAAAAGTTAAATTTTAAGTTGTGGCTTGCAGGCCTCCGAAAAGGCAGTTTCCACTGCTATGGAAAGAGAATTCGTCTTTATGATCCCACGATTCAGGAATATAAATCAACCAGTTGATACATGAAAACAGGCAGGATAGTTCTGTTCACCCGCAGGGGGGAAAACAAGTCCTGTGTTTTTTTCATTTTTTTGAAGACTGTGAGTATTTTCAGTCCAGCCTGCTTTGGGGATGCTGGCCTGTCTAAGCCTGTCTAACCAACCAGGCCAAGCCCTAAATCGGTCCCTTCCCTCCTCATGAGTGGATCTGCACGGGCCTCTCCAGGGGCTGAACAATGAGAGGGACACAGTTCATACAGAAGACATTATAAGTGGGCTGCAGCTAGCTGGATTCACCAGGTGCCCCAGGGGTCCCCACCCTGTAAAGCACACTGAGTACCTGCCTGCCATGGGTCACCTAGGGCACAGGACACTGACAGCTGCTGGGTGGACAGCTGCTCCCAGTCACCAAGAGCAGTCATGTTTGTTCCCAAACCCTTTTGTGGCAATTATATCATTACTCTGGTTATGTAATTTAATTTAAAAGCATGTGAACTGATAAGTGTGAAATGAGGAGTTATTATTGCTAGGAAAACTAGGTTAACTGCTTGGAAAGATTCCATAAGAGTGAGTTGCAAAAAAAAAATTAGGCGTGGGCAAGTTGACATTTGATTAGAAAAAAAAACTTTAAACAGCCATCATTTTAGATTTCTGGCTTTTTTAAATGAAACAGAACCCATAGATTCACATTAATGTTGTGATTACATAAGGCTAACAGAATTTCAGTTTGTGTCCTCTACTCAAAGAAAGGGCCTTTTACATTGTATAAGTGCTAAAAGAATATATGTATATATGTTGAAAATATTTATTAACACTTATTCCATTCTTTATAATATCCCAATTCAACTGGCATTTTCAATAAACACACCAACCCACAGTCTCTGCTATGCCAAAGAGATGGGAAAACGGAGAAGCAGAAAGATGCCTGTCTCTAGTCCCGCCCTCAGCTCTAGGCCCTATTTTCAGGAGGAGCACATGCAACTTGACGTAGATTCCTGGTGACCCTCCAGGACTGGGGATGGGCTCTGCTCATCCTCGTTAGGGAACAGGCCATCCAGAGAATCTCTGAAGAGTAACAATGGAACTTCAGAAAAAGAAATGAAAAAAGAACAGCTCCTTTTGCAAATGCAACAAAAAGAATAAAATACCTAGTAATAAACCTAACAAAGCACATGAAGCACCTATAAACTGAAAACCACAAAGTATTATTAAAAGAGATTGAAAAGGACAATGAAATGGAAAGATAGTCTGCTTCGTGGATTTAAAAAATCAGCATAGTTAAAATGGCTGTATTAACCAAAGTAATATACAGATTTAATGCAATCCCCAACAAAATCCCAATGACATTTTTTAAAGAAATAGAACAAAAAAATCATCAGATTTGTATGAAATCACAAAAGACCCTAAATAGCCAAAGCAATGCTGAGAGGAAGAATGAAGCCCTGGGCATCATAGTACCTGACTTCAAATTATACTACAGAGCTTCAGTGATCAAAACTGCATGGTCCTAGCAGAAAAACAGACACACAGACCAATGGAACAGAATGGAGAGCCCAGAAATAAAACCACAAGTATATAAGCAAATAATTTTTGACAAAAGAGCTAAAAGCACACAGTAGAAAAGAAAGCTTCTTTAGTAAATGGTGCTGGGAAAACTGGAGAGCTACACTCAAAGGAATGCAACTAGACCACAGTCTGACCCCATGGACAAAAATTAATTCAAAATGGATCAAAGGCCTAAATATAAGATCTGAAACAATAAATTATTATACATACCAAAAACCATTGGTACTAAACTTATGGACCTTAGTCTTAGAGATTTTATCAATTTGATCCCAAAGGCAAGGGAAGTAAAGCCAAAAATAAATGAATGGGACTGTATCAAAGCAAAAAGCTTTTGCAACAAAATAAAAGGCAACCAACCAAATGGGAGGTGATGTTCTAAAACAACCTCTCCAACAAGGGCTTAATCTCCAAAATATGTAAAGAACTCATACAACTCAACACTAAACAAACAATCCAATTAAAAAAATGGGCAGAGGACCTAGACAGACACTTCTTCCAAGAAAGCAGACAACTGGCCAACAAATACATGAAAAGATGTTCAACTTCACTAGGTATTAGGAAAACACAAACCAAAAATACATTGAGATACCACCTCACAC